AAAAAAAAAAAAAAAACCTCACTCTGACAGGAGAGACTGCTCCCTGAAATGCCTGCTCACTGAGAAAATCTGGCAGGGAAGGACAGTGGCAAGCCAACTAACAACATAACCTTTGATCAGTGGGAAGAAGGAGTAACTAAGACAGCTTGAAGCATTATCAAAATTAAAATTTAACAGTTTTAATAAGAATAGGCAGGCTGTGTAATCTGGTAATACCACCTGAAGTACTGTTTCTGAAAGCAAACAGCAAAACTACATCAGAGTGTATAAAAAATACCTAGGAAGGCAATTTCTCTGCAACTAAAAGTGAAAACATTTCTGCAGAAAGTCATCTTACAAGTATGTGCAGATGTAAATATTGCTTTCCAAGATAGCATTTGTACAGCAATGTACAGTACAATAGGCTCTGCTCCATGGTAGTCACTCGGTAGGGGCTGCAGCAGTGCAAATAAGAGAGACAACAAACTTTTCATATGCTTGAATATAGTGAAAGCATTTGCATTTGTGACTTAAAAGTAACATACAAAAAACCAGAACTCTTGGTTCCAAAATGATACCTTTTATTAGACCAACTGGGAAATAAAATAAAAGGTATCCTTTTGGAACCAAGAGTTCTAATTTTTTTGTACGTCTTCTTGTCTCAGCCCAGCACAGCTACCAAGTACACTCCTGACCTAAAAATGAACACTTTAGGATGCATCGCTTATCAACCAACAAAACCGACGTGGAACTTTTCTTATGTAAAGAGATAGTGTCTGTTTTTAAAGAATCAAAGGTATGAGTTTCCACCAGCATGACGATCCACATTTTAAAATGATTCCATTTCCCTGAAAAAAAAGGGTAATCGTCTTCATGCTTGGGTCTGAAAACAAGTATTGATAACTTTCATCCTCTTAAAACAGCATTCAGAATACAGAAGAAGTACTTACTTGGAAGTGTTTAAATATTAATTCCGGGTTGAAATACAGTTGAAATGGTGTGATGAGCTCTAATTGCTGCAACAGAAAAGAACGCGTCATAGGATCAATCCATTCCACAAAGCCCGCTTGCAACTTTCACCGTGAAGTAACCTGACAGGGGTTCGTTAATCTCCCTCGTTCACGTGTTTAAACACCAAAGGTGACACTCAGATTTTTTCCCCCATTCCTGCAATAATCAGTTGTTACCTTTCCCTTCAGACTAACGTTTTTCTTGGGCTGCTCCTCGTCAACACTGAGCCACGTACAGGCGTGAACCAGGCCGGGCCACACTGTGAAATTTGCAGGCGGAGCCCGGCGCAACCCCGAGGGACCCGGCTCCCCACGGGGGCCCTTGGATACGACCCCACCCTGCCCCGCTCCGCCGGGGGACACCGCACCGGGGCACCCATGGGCTCTTGTGGGCGGCGCGGCGCGGCGCGGCGCGGCGCTCACCACGGCGGCGGTGGTGAGGACACAGGCCGTGGTGTAGGCCCGCGTCACGGGCGGCACTTGCAGGTACTCCTGCCGGAACGTCTGGTACGCCATCTTGCGCCGCCTTCGTCGCTTCCGCTTCCGCCAGCCAATCGCCGCGGCGCCGCCAGCCAATCGGGGCTGCTGCCGCCCGACAGAAGCCGACCAATTCTCCTCCTCTGCCGCCTCATCGGTGAAAGGGGGCGCCGCTTCCTCTTGGGCGCTCGGCCATTGGGCGGCGCGGACGGGGGCGGGGCCGGCGGCCGTGACGCGCGCGCGCGCGCGCGGGCGGGAGTTGGAGCCCGGGAACAGAGGCGCTTTCACCTGGGCCTCGCCCGGGCGCCTCGCCCGGGGCAGTCGTGCCCTGCTGGAGGGCTGAGCTCTTCTGAGGGAAGCCGGGCATGTCTAGGCACCGGCCCTCCCGGGAGAAACTTTTCTGGGAGTGATTGCCCTCAGGTTACCCCCCCACAAGCCGTTTTGACACAAACCGTTTTGAGGGAAAAGCCCGGACATCCGCACGCTCCGTGTTTCCTGGGAGAGCAGCCACCCCTGAGGCCGGCGCAGTGTCCCGGGCAAGTCTCCGGCAAGAACAAGCTGAAGAACCAGGTTTTTCCCACTGGTGTGAAATCTTGCTTCCCCTGTGTGAGCCTGAAACCTTGCTCCTTATCCCAAAACTGAAGTCTGTATTGACCTCCCTTTCTTTTTCTTCCTCTTTGCAGCTTTCTACGTGGCCTTGGGTTGACTCGCCATAGCCAGGATGTCTGTGAATCCGATGTCCTACGAAGCTCAGTTCTTTGGCTTCACCCCTCAGACGTGCATGCTGCGGCTCTACATTGCGTTTCAAGATTACCTCTTCGAAGTGATGCTGGTGGTTGAAAGCGTCATTCTGAAGAAGCTCGACAGCGTCCCGAACTCGAAGATCCACCCGCTTCACATCCGGAAGAACACAGAAAAATTTCTTCTCTTCATGAAGAAGCACTTTGATCAGCTCTTCAGCAAAATGGAAGAAGTGCTTTTTCAGCTAGTGTTAAGCATTCCTAAAAATGCCTTGCTTCCTGAAGACAAGGTCCATGAGCAGTACCCGTACAGTAAGGAAGAGTTTCAGCCTCTTCAAGTTGAAATTGAGGAGCTACAGAAGCAGTACAAGGCTGAAGTGTCTGCAGGGCAGAAACTACTCACAGAACTAGAGGAACAGAAGATTGTTCAGACAGAACTTGAAAAGATCCTGCAGTGGTTTGATGGACTTGAAAACATATGTAGAGAACAGGGGACCAGCAACTTCAAGGAAAGCTTTGCCTTCTTGACACAAAGTTCTAAGAAACTTCAGGATGTCCTGGAAGAGGTTGAAAAGAAAAACAAAAAGTTCCCCAAAAGTTCATCCAATTAATATAAAGGAAGTATTGATAGGACACACAGAAACCAATAAGACAATTCACTTTAGACCAGAAATGTGTTGATCTTTGCAAAGATATTTGCATAAGGAAATCTCCCACACCTCCACCCACATCCGGTTTTGACTGGGAATCCTTCAACACAAGTATTCCAGGAATTCATAATTCTCCCTTCCTAAAGTTTTCTAAATGTGGATTGACAAAGATCCACTCCTTTGGTCAGGAGCCTGAATAGTCTGTTTTCATTTTGTTCTCTAGCAGGCATGTGTAAAGTTAGAATCTATGTCACTCACATTGTTTAGCACAGGGACATTTCCCCTGTAATATTTAAATCCTGCCAGCTCAGTTACCAAGGTATCCAAAGCAGATTCAGATTCAGGCTGAATCAGAACTGTGGTAACTCTGTTACTTTTAACTGGAACTGTGTTAATTTTTATACTAAGAGTTGCTACTTATTCTTGAGCTGTGCACAAAATGGGGTGTTCAGCATAGGTAGCGTGTTGTATGGCTGCTGTTAAAAAAAGAAAAGCTAATCATAATGAGAGAGGATTAGAACAGGAGCTGGAAAAAAGAACAAGCCAATGGATTCAGGAGGCATGTGAGCCTTCCTGTCTCCTATAACTTGATTTCTGTAGTTGGTGACTAGAGAAATGTGCCCTATAAATGAGATATCTAGTGATGTTTTTCAGCTTTCTTCCCCAAATTTATAAAAACTATAGGTTATAATTGAATGTCAGTCTATGCTTTTTTATTAAAAACTACCTGTCACTTCTCAGAACTTGCACTGTCACAATATTCTCCTACTGAGAACATGACTTAAATGAAAAGTAAATGTTCCGGTTAATCAAAAATACATTTTTCTATCGCTGCTGTAAGTAACCTTAGTAAAAGAAAAAAAACCTGTAGTTGCAGTGCACTTTTTGATATAAACAAAATATTTCTGTAGTAACTGCTTGAATGCTATAATTGTGAATATAGACACTATTTTATCCTTCACAAGGTTATTTTTCATGCTGAATTGTATTTAAACATCTATAGGAGAACAAACGGAAATTAACTGGATAATTTAACTTAAAGACCAGGTAATTGTTGGATGATGGTAGTAAGAGGCTAAATGCAGACAAGAATTAATTTGGGAAGGCAGGAGGTGAAAAGACAGCAAATGCATTTTTCAAGGTGCAGTTCAAAGTGGCTTCTTTTAAGACATTCACAGCTTTTATGTGCTTATATAGGTCCACAGAACAGGAGCTGGGACCTACTATTTTGATTTTTATATGGTAAATCAAAAAATGGTTTCAAATGAAAGGTCCATAATGCTTTCAGAATCAGAAGGTTAAAGATGCTCAATGATACTGATGTTTGGTGTTTATAATTGCAAGTGGGTAACACCATTTTCTAGGGGAAATATCTGTCTAAAATAAGATTTTTCTTTCAGCTGTGTAACTCATTTTTTTTCCTTAATAAATGAGGAAGAAGGTTGGTGGAGTACAATAAGTAACTCCAAAGACAGGCACTATCTTGAAATAAAAAGGAATTCCAGATTGATCTAAATGTGTAATTGTAAGACATTAAACTCACCATTCAAATTCACTAAATACCCTTTCTCCAGGCTGGATAAAGAAAGTAAAGTAATCACTTATTTTACCTGTAGTTTACTGTGACCTTAAGCTGGCTAACAAACAACATTTTGACTTCGGGGTAAAAATATCAATTCAGATCAGTGTAAATAGGATTCTTGTGCTTTGATCCTGCTATGGGTGGTTAGTTTACTGAGTCTTCCAAATCCATATTAAAATAAAGTTAACATCCTTGCATAGACTTGGAAAATATTGTTCCCTTCTTTTTTTTATATATGAAAAAATATCAACTTTTCTGCTAATCCAGAGTTCTTCTATTTTTTCTTTTAATAGAAACTGAATGCTAAGCAGCCAGAATGTTGTATGAGATTCATAGCTATGTGCACGCTGTATGCCTATATCTTGTCTCTGCAATAAAGATGTATTTGAAACTTTGCACATAGTATCAGCACTCAAACCATGTGAAGCCATGGATAAAGGGAAGTACTGTACCAGGTGGGGGTGGGGGACTGCATGGGTTAACAGGAAGGTGCAAAGTGCTGTGGAACTCTCTATGACCACCAAGTATTTCAGACCCTGTGGCTTTATTTTGAAACAAATTAAATTAGGTTGTCCCTACTGCAGCTCTGGCTCCAGCCCTGAGTCTGAGCCTTCTCTACTGCCCCTCCTTACCCCACTACAGCCTCTGCCTCCCTGGTGCCTGCCCAGTGTGCTCCATGCCCTGGGTCAGAATGGGGCTGAAATGCAACTAATAGTAAGCAGCAGGGGGGAGGGAGGCCAGGGTTCATACACTATAGTGGGGTGCAGGCAGCAGGGGAACAAGGGGCAGGGACAAGGCCAGCTGCCTTCCCCTGCCACTGCTTTCCCTTCTATAGCAATGGGGAGGGAGTAATTTAAGACAACCCTGCTATAATTAGATTTCATATATGGAAAATTGTAACATATATTTCTCCACATATAGAATCTAATTATTGTGGGTTCATCTTGGATTCAGGTAATTCACAAGCATGGACAATGATAAAGAACTATTTGAACTAGTATGATTTTTCATAACCACCAGGAGGTTCATTACTCTGTCAGGACTTTTTCCTCTTCATTCAGGCTTCTCACAGCTAAAGAGCAATTAAGTGACTGTCTATTACTGATACAAATTGCTAGCCCAAATGAATGGCCTAGGGAGAAGATCATATCTGTAAAACAAAAAGTCACTTCTTCCATAGACCTCCTGGAGATGTTAGCTACTTTGATTCACTTGCTATCAAAGTTATGTAACCTGATCAGTCTTTTTTCTGTTTTTCTTTGTAAAAATCAGTTTTAAATGGAAGCATTTATCTGTCGGGGGTTGAATATTGTCTGGAAGCACATGCTAAGTCTAATTCTTTTCCAAGTAGTGATAAAATGTCTCACCAAGAGACTTCATGTTCTGGTATTATTCTTCTATGAAGGACATTAAGGGAACAATTAATTTGTGTGCATGTCAGTAGCACACACTAAAGTTTTAAAAATAGGCTTTTAAATTAATAGCTTTTTAAAAACTCTTAAAAATGTAAGATTATGCTTGAGAAACAAATATTCAGAAGACATTTTTGGATGGGGGAGTAATGTCCTTTTGAAGTAATGTCCTTACATAGTCTTTTTCTCTGCCAGGGCTAAGGAAACAGCTCTGGAGTAAAAGAATGAGAAAGATCTCATGGGAGTCAGGAGGTTACCCCTCTTTCATGCAGTGTCATAGAAATAAGCAGGAACAGAATGCCTTGTATAGCAAGGTTTTATAATGCTGCCTCATTAGCTTTCTGAAAGTCAGAATTAAAAGCTTTATTGACACAATGTTAAAATTATACTTGTTATATGTCTCAGTAGAGTTAGAAGACAATACAGGACCTTGCACATACTAGCTACGATTCAGATGAGGTGCTAAAGTACTTCCCAGACCTTTTGGCATACACAGAGCCAGCTGTTATGATAGGAAAATAATGCTTTGTTTTATTATATCAGTGAAGTATGTAGGAGAGGTGTAACCATCCATGATACTTGTTTAGTCAGAACTTACTACTTGGAGTGTGTAAATTCATGATATCGGTACCCAAATCATAAATTAACAAAGCTAGTCATCCATTTTATAACATTGAAGAAATGGTAATTGCCTGAAGCAGGCATTTTCTTGTTAAAAGTGGCATTGGGATTCTGGGTACGGGTCACACACAGTGATTCTGAAAGGCCAAGACCTTCATTTTCAGGATGAGATCTTTGGCAACACCTCTTAACACCCACATGCTCACTATAGATTCATAGTGATATAGAACTGGAAGGGGCCTGTTGAAGTCATCTAATCCAGCGGTTCTCAACTTTTGGTACCTTACGTACCCCCTACCGATCGATGCAGCAAAAGTGAAACTGGAAGTCCCACACGGCACTTCCGGTTTTGCCGCTGTGAGCTGAGTCCCACTTTTTCCACCATGGCCCAGGGCAAAGCAACCTGCGTGGGGCCTCCCTCCCTGTCCCCTGGCACACCGACACTAGGGAGTGAAAGCCCCGGGGCACCAGATGTGGCAGGAGGGCAGTGATTGGAACTTTCAATCCAAGCAGGCAAAGACCAAAACGCAGCACCCACGTACCCCCTGCCCATGTCTTATGTACCCCCAGGGGTATGCAGGTTGAGAAACACTGATCTAGTCCAGTCCCCATCCCGAGGCAGGATCATCCCTATCCAAACCATCCTACGTTAATCCATTGTCTAACCTCTTAACAAAATTACTAAGTCTACTCAGACAGCACAAGACATAACACTAAATCTGCCACAGGTAAAACAGGGAGACCACGGTCGTCAATGTTCTGCTGCTGCAAAGGTTGTTAATATATGCTTGACAACCCAGGTGAGGGCCACACTCCCAGCTACAGAGGAAGCAAAAAACATTGAAGTCTACAGCAATTCAACCATGGAATAGCATTCCTTTCTGACCCCAAATATGGTGACAGGACTGACCCTAAGAAGAAGGGGCAAGACCTAGCCAGGAACTTCTGGGTTTAATTCCCAGTAGAAGCACTGTCACCTATTAGTCAGAACCCCCAGCCATAGCCACAACCACCACCCAATGCTTACCCTGACACTTTTAGAAGCAGGAGGGGAAAGAAATCCCACCTGGCCCTATGCGGCAACCAGCAGAGCCCAGAACCATGGGAAATACCCATAATAGAACACAGACATAGCAATGACTACATCAGGGTGCTCAGCCCCTAACCCATGGGCAAAATGCAGCCTGCAGAGCCTTGGAATCTGCCCTGTGGTCATTAATATGGCCACCCTTCCCACCCTGCCACATTCGCAGATCCCAAGCCCTGCGTGGCTGGTCGGAGCCAGGCTTCACCCCTGTTCCCCTGGCAAGGCCAGGCCATGCCCTTTCCCTCCACATCTGAATCAGGGCTTGGTTGGGGCCAGACCACACTCCCTGCACCCCCTGCCCATGGGCCCAGGTCATGTCCCCTTTTCTCTACAGAGCTTGGTTGGGGCTGGGCTGCCCCCTTCCCCCTCTGTACCACTGGATGGTGCCCACTGCACCCTCCCCGGGCACCAGTCAGGACCACTGGCCAGATCCAGCCCATAGGCAGACTGGGCACTGTCCATCTGGCCCATGGGGGAGAAAGGGTTGAGCACCCACTGGCCAGGCTCTGACCATCCCACAGCTTATCCCTGCCCCTGCCCCACTACCTCCCTCACTGTGGGGGCCTTGATTTGCCTCCTCCCCCTGCTCCTTCCCCTCCAGAGACTTACCTGTTGGGCAGTGTGCGTGTGTGTGTACTCAGGCCCCACAAATAATATTTTCTCCCTCCGCCAATACTCACAACCCCCAACTCCATACCTCCCCACTCAACAAACAGTACCCTTCCACCACCCTCCTCACCCACCAACAATAAAAAACGTGCTTACAAGCGGCAAACTATACAGAGAGCAGCTCAGCCCTGGGGGAGGAGAGGCAGCCAGCCAGGAGCCCTGGGGCTGGGCTCAGGCTGGTCCTCTAATGGCTGGGCAGACCCAGCACTAAAATGAGTGCTGGGCCACATCTACACATGCATTAATGCATTTTAACTAATTGCACCTAAATGTGATACCTGCATTTGCAGGTATCAAATTTAGGCACAGTTGGCCTAATTTTGCCATTTTAATGTGCATTAAGGGTGCTCACATGTAGATGGACACCTGTAATGCATGTTAAATTAGACTAATGCACAGTAACGTGTCTGATGTAAACGTGCCCTCTATGTAGTATGACTTGAATCAACGGCATGTGAATTAATGTGCTGCTCTTCTCACTTAAGACCAGTAATGTGAGATTATAATGGTGTCTAATCCCTGATGATTGAAACAACCTATGTTCCCAGCCCATTGACTGTCCTTCAAAACAATGAGTACGTCATAGCCATACCCTTAGGCACGTTCTTTCCTGTATTGAGCATTTGTGCCAGTAGAGGGCATTAAGAGACTGTTTTGAAAGTTAAAATAGCAGGAAAGACCATTTAATTTAGACTATTCTTCCTAGATACACCAAGTTGTTGAACCTCTCCTAGGATGGATCAGTTCCTTTGTCCATAATCAGCAGAATATGTTCCTCCAGTGTGAGGGGGTTTTTAAGCAGAAATCTGTATAATTACAGAAAGTATTCATCCTTCCAAAAATACAGAAGGATGTATATTTAGCTGACTAAATATAAGTCTTATGATGCATTTTCCTCTCTTTATGAAAAATTATTCCAGTTTTGACTCATTTCTCTCCAAATAAGTGATTCTTTTTTTTTTGTCTCTTGACCAAATACTAGGCTTTTGAAGTTCCAATTAGTTCTCGAACACTTGGGTGACATAAGTGCTTTTCGAACAGTTGTGGGCCAAATTGTCATAATCAAATTTAGCTAGAATGCATTTACACCACAATCCAACATGTGAAAGTAATTAGCTCTTTGGCATAACCCACCGTGCTTCTACCTTTTCTCTCCTTTGATGATACTCTTTTCAAAACACTTCCTCCATGAAACTCATAAACCTTCTTTCCCTCCTACCAACAGTATCTATATATGAAATAAAGGTCTCACAAGATAAGACATTCTTCAGAAACATGTACTCTTCTTTAAACAGACATCAAAGAGCCAGGCAAAAATAAGAATACTATATAGAAATTCTTCAGCAAAGCACAGAAAGACAAAGAGCAGTCTGAGAAGTCATAGTGTTTTTTCACTGTTCTAATAAAGTTCCTTGGTCAACATGTTTCCTACTGTCACATAGCATCTGTACTACAAAATAAAACTCCTAACTGATCTTAATGCTGCTGCCCTTGCACCCTGTTCTCCATTCCCTAGTAAACATGTTTACTATTTCACCTGCAAAGCAAAGTTAAAGTCCCAAATATGCATGGACTTTTTTTTCTGTGTGGAGTTCTCTTATAATCAA